AGTGTGTTTCTGCCGCGTGTCCATATAATACTTTAAAATGCGACTTTCCACCGCACTGGAAAAAAAACACATTGGATCTAGAGTCCAGACTCTTAAAACATCGACAAGAAAAAATACTCTTGATTCAATCAGATTTAAGCTGAAATCAAGAACCAAGCCTCTTAATGGGCCTGTTGCATGCAAGAGATACAGCCGCGCGAATAGACTTTTAAGAGGTTAAATGACACGAAAATTACGATGGTCCCATTAAAAAAGTCTGAAATACACTCCTTACTGCGCAATTTGCATTGTTAGGAACGCGCTTTTTCAAATTTCCCGCGTCTGGGGGCAGTTTTCTAACGGAAACAATTAACGGCAACTCGCGGCTATTTCCGGTCAACTAAAACTGACAACATAACCTCAAAATCGGAGCTCATTATATCGTGAAATGAAATGTAGAAGGATTGCGTTGGATATTTAAAAGTTGATCGATTTGGTTACCGCATAAAGCGTATATGGACCACTATAAGAGATCACGTTGGGTTTGTAAACAAACTGAAGGAAAGAATAACAACAACAACAACGACTCGGCATCTTCCGGAAATCACCGAGCCCGCCGTTTGCTCGTTTCCGGTGATTAGAAAACTGCCCCCAGACGCGGGAAATTTGAAAAAGCGCGTTCTTAACAACGCAAATTGCGCAGTAAGGAGTGTATTTCAGACTTTTTTAATGGGACCATCGTAATTTCCGTGTCATTTAACCTCTGAAAAGTCTATTCGCGCGGCTGTATCTCTTGCATGCAACAGGCCCATTTGAGCGGATTTCCTTTTGATTTATGCTTAAATCTGATTGAATCAAGAGTCCTCTTTCTTGTGAATGTTTTCAAGAGTCTGGACTCTAGATCCAATGTGTTTTTTTTCCAGTTCGATTTCTTGATACTCCTCTTCGTCCGTTTCGTAATTAGGGGCTGGAATAATGTATCAACCATTGTTCTAGCTTTCAACCCCCCTCTGGAAGAAACTCTCTTGGGTCCAGAGTCCCAGACTTTAAAAAAATACTATTGGGGCCGTTCGAGTATTCTGTTACGCACTTAGGGGGAAGGAGGAGCTACGGTGCGTTACAAGGGGGGGGATGGGAGTCAAGCCCAGCGATACGTAACAAATATGAGCAGAGGGGGAGGGGGGTTGGAACTTGGGGGGAAACGTGCAGAAAATTGATAACTCCGCCCTTCCCGATTACATTTTGTGAAGGGGGGGTACTGGGGCAGCGTTACGTAATTCAAAAGAGGAGTGAAGGGCTGCGTTACGGGTGCGTTACACAAGGAGGGGGAGTCCAAAAATTGGAGAAAGTGCGTTACGTAATACTTGAATGGTCTTGGCTCAATCGGATTTTTGCTTGAATCGAGAGCCAGCCTCTTAATTTAAGCGGATTATTTCCTTTAGACTTTATTCGCTTGAATTATTGAAGAGTATTTTCTCTGGTAAATTTTTTTTAGAGTCTGGACTCTGAGGGATCCAAGAAAATCATTTTCCAGCGTTCTCTCCTTCAGAAAACGCTTCTTGAAATGGACACGGAAAAAACCAGTTTGCATCAGAGACACAAGACGAGTGGGTCAATCCATTGGCGTACCTAACTTTTGTGCATCCCCCACTTGCCGGTTCAGTTTCGAGCTGAGAGACGTAAACGGAGTATGTTTCAGCCCTTAACCGCATCAAGGGATGCAAAAAAGTAAGGTTGATAGCGCCATAGACATACCCGTCTTGTGTCTTCGACGCAAACCGTTTTCCCTGTACAACCTCATGACCCCGTAAAAATTAGGAGTTACTTATAAACAGTCATGAAAAAACCGTTTTGCGTCAGACACATTCAATAATCTTTCCTGCGTCATATCTATCCCAGTTTACGTGGACGCAGGAGAGGTTAAGGAACGCCCACTCGTTGACCTATCCGAAATCCGTCTCCTACGCAAGTTTTTCTTTCCGCGTAGGGATTCATAAGTCGCAAGCCATCTAATATCACCATTCAAGTTATTTCTGCGGGGAAAATCGAGTAAAAGTTACTGGACGTTTCGCTCCGATAGTCATTAAAAGCACGAAAATTACGATGAAAGTTGTGCATCCTGCTGCGGAAATCACGTTCAACTTACATGGGGTATGCAACTATTTCAACTCCTGAGCCGCTCAAATTGCATCCATCGAATTGAAGGCGAACTGGATTTCTCACGACCGTTTTCAATTATTCAGTTATGAGCGCAAGAGAAGCGCTTACATTCTAGCTTTTGCAAACAAAATGGCGTAACGCTCTCCTGGACCCCCCTCCCGTTACGTAATTTGGGGATGGTCCCTGGATGGAAACGAATGCTTGAAAAGAATCGATTTTATACGTATAAAAGATTGATTGGCTAATGTTTATTCCCATCAAAAATTAACAAGCTCTACGAGTGCGCTCAGCTAGACATATTTTTAAAGAGAATTTGGAACTGCCAACATCTGTCCGGCAGAGAGTCGAGGAGGAGGGGTTGAAAATCAGAATAAGTGGATAATGACGTTATTAATGGGTGCCGCGCGCTTTTAGGGCAAACTCACGAGTCGTAAACGATGTGCGCTGCCGTATTAAGGTAAAACGATGAATGAAAATTCGCGCGTTGCTAAATTTTCTCCTATTTTTCCAAATTTTCTGGAAAATTAATGAATTTTTCTCTTCTGATTTTTCAGAGATTTTTATCTGTAACTCAATGTACGTAAAAATTTAGATTCGGAGATCGGAGAAATTTAGATCTAGAGTCTAGACTCTTAAAAACATGACAAAATACTCTTGATCCAATCGGACTTTTTGCTTAAATCAAAAGGAAATCCGTCTAAATCAAGAGGCTCGGCTCTTCGATTCAAGAAAAAATCTGATTGTATCAAGAGTATTTTTTCTTGTCAACATTCCTAAGAGTTTGTACTCCAGATCCAAGCGACTCTTTTCCAGTGTACAGAGCTTTCCCTTAAGCAGTATATAGGGTTGTCATGAAGGATAGTACGAGAGAAAAATATTCGAGTGAGAAGAACTGACTGGGCAGTGATAGAAAAAAAAAGAGCGCGCGGCACTATAGGCAGTAGGCACTGACGAGACGAAACATGTAAATTCCTTTTAAAGTAGGAACAACTTGGCAACATCATTATGTATTTTGTGCCTCCTTTTAATGCGTGTGCTTTCCTCCTTCACTCGGAATGGGGGAGACACAAAGCACTTACCACTTGCACTCACGGGAGTTTACTTTTACATGAACCATGACTAGCGTTAACTAGTCGTACCACAATGGCGTCCTGTCCCTCCACTCCGCCGATTGGCTCAGGGGGTGGGGATCGATTACATTCAAATTTTCACATTACAAAATCTCAGATTGGAGGGATAATCTACTGCAACTTTCCCCGTCTCTTACGTATAAATTTCGTAGTATGATTACGATTTTACTGGGTGCTAATACGTCGTTTCCCGGTCGAAGGAACATAACTTCATCCCAAGATTTCAAAATTGACTACAACAATTCAACGTTTTAAAATATAACGCACCTGAGCGATTTTCGTCCATACTTTTTTTGTTTTTACATGGAATCAGAGAAGAAAATCGGTGAAATTATCAGTTAGAAATGACAAAGATTCTCCGGATAAAAATGAAATTTGCGGAAGGGAATTTGGCAACATTGAAATGCAGTTACGTTCCTTCATGGGAGGAACGACGAAAAAGTTCACGTTTTTCTATTATTTTTGACAAGATTTTAATTACGGCGGAAATTAAACTTTCAAATTGATGGTGACATCTAGCGCCAGACGCGAGATGAAAAACTGAATGAGTTGCAAAATACACTGCGCGGGTCACTGCGTGATATCTTCGTTCTCCGGACGATAACACGTAGATGCATTCCAATTTTGCAAAATTCCTCCTCACGACCAGTATTTTCACTAGGAAACTGTTCGGAATTTCTTGCTGAAAATTTCGCCAATTTTTCCTCTGAGTAAAGGCACAATGCTGCAAAATTTTAGACGGACACTTCATGGTTATATACTTTTGGTAGGAAAAAAAAATTAGCCAATTTTGGAATTCAGGAGTGAGGGAACGTTTATCCGTGAGGGGCAACGATGTGTCAAAACGGATAAAATATAGTTACGATGCTTTATGCTTTAGAGTGACTGATTTTCAGTTGAAAACTTAATCAATTACTTTCTTTTCAATTAAGCTTTTGTTTTGGCTAGTTATACTTTTGATGGAAAAAAAATTGAGCCAATTTTAGAACCCTGAAGTGGAAGAAGCGTTCGTCCGTCTGGGACAACGATGTCAAAATAGATAAAACACAGATATGGCGTTTTTGCTTTAAAGGTACTGATTTTTAGTTATAAATTTCATCAAATCACTGGGGGAAAAAAACATTGCATCTAGAGTCCAGACGATGGATTCCGATGGCGATTTGGAGTCTCAGAGCGCTCTATAGTGCGCTGAGGTAGCGGCTTGATATATATGTATCTAGAGTTCAGACTCTTGAAAACATTGACAAGAAAAAGGACTCTTGATTCAATCAGATTCAAGCTTAAATCAAGAGGAAATCCGCTCAAATTAAGAGCTTGGTTTTTTATTTAAGATTAAATCTGATTGAATCAAGGGTATTTTTTCTTGTCAATGTTTTCAAGAGTCTGGACTCTAGATCCAATGTGTTTTTTTTCCAGTGAGTACTATCCATTTTCTTTCAGGCTTCTGTTTTGGCTGGGGGAGGATTTGTTTCCATCGGCTTACCCTTCACAAATAAACAAAATAAAATAACTTAATAACTAAACTAAATAAAAGGGGACGGAGGAAGCGCAGCATCGTTTTTCGGAGGCTTTGATACCGGAGTCTTGGAATGCCTCGGCGAGGGGACTGCATGCCTGCGAGCGGAATTAAATTTTCAGCGGACGCGTTCCGGCTTCAGATCAATACAAACATATATATATATTTATGATAAAAGCAGAGAAGAGGGATGCAAATAGGATGGGGAGACTTACACGAGTGGAGGCATTCTTTGATGGCGGTGGCATCGATAAAGTAGCCGTGACAGAGGACGCACACCAGCTCCGGATTAACATCCGTCAGCTTCACTCCGGGCATCCTGGCGCCTTTTTAAACACTGTTTTATCTGCAACAAGTCAAATACAGTGGGTCAGTTTGTTAACTGTTATTTGGTAAATGGCGGCGACGCAGTATACGAAACTAGGTGTTACGGCCCCAGACCGCTACACAACGTCTGTGAAACTTCCAAGAAAAAAGTTTCAGTTTCCGGGTGAGCATAATAAATGTGAAAGGAAATTTGAAAAACGTTTTTGTGTTCGGGGAAGGATGAATTTCGAGGACACATACTTATAGGGTTGTCACGTAATTTAGAAATAGAAATTCACTGACGCTTCCCTAAATTCCATTACTTGATTAGGTAAAATTCCCTGAAATTTGAGGAAATACCAAATTGTTAAAGAGGTGCAATTTGAAATAGTTATTACGCAAAATTTGTTGTTCAAAACGTCAAACCCGGTCTAGGACGCCAATACTTGAAGGTGATCTGATGAGCTTGGAGGACAAGCCACATGAGTGCAGTTTTTGAAAAATTGAAGCATCGCGGATTTCAACTAAACCTAGTCCTAAAAAGTAGTCTGTGAAAAATTATCTGCGAAAACCCTGCAACGTTTAAGCATCAATGGCCGAATTTGAACTTTCCTTCTGCCATAGGGCCCTATAGGTATAATTTTGAAACTTTAAACACGAATCCTTATCCACCGACTCTTCCTTGACATTTCACATTTTTGTCATTTTCTTTGACATTTCCAGATTCACCCTGTCTTTTAAAAAGTTCCGATCTTTCTTTCGGTTTTTCCTGGCTGCGGCAACCCTGGAAAAGTCTTTAAGGTGATTCTTCATAATTTTACGAAGAGCGCAGGATTCGTTCGCTAGATCGCTACTGGTCCATTTCCTCGAAACTTCATTTCTGCCTACTCTGCTCTCTTGAACAAGACGGGAGTGGAAGCCGAGGTTATGGATCCGCATTTAAAACAACTCGTCGGCCGTCGTCGTCGCGTCGGCGGCAGCGAAAACTGCGAGCGCAGCGCAGTCTCTCGTGCTCCGCAATTGCTATCGAATGCAAATGAAACGGATGAATAATTGATGATTTTTACATCCGGACGGAGACCCATCGGAGTCGAAGGAGAAAAGAGGGGTTAAAAAGTGCCAACTTATCGGCACGAGTCAGCGAAATAGATTTTGCAAAAAAACAAAAAGTACACGGGCGCGGAAACTCTCCCTGCACTTTTTTCTCCTCAGCGTTCGCAACTTGGATAAGATTCGGAGTTTAGTTTCAAAGTTCCGAGCCTCCTTGGAAAGTTGTGCCCGGTTCTATCTCATCAATCATCAATACTGCAGAGATTTATACGGACAGTTAAGAACTGAATCGGAAGCTCCGAATTTGCAAGAAAAAACTGCAATTGCATGGTTCGGGCGGATAGTAGTTCCGAACGTCAAAGGAAAATTAGCTTAGGGGCCGTCCATAAATTACGCAACGCACTTTTTCGGCATTTTTGACCCCCCCTCTTATTAGCGATTTTGTGACGTAGGTTCCTATCCTCTGACACGTAAAAACAAAATGGCGTAACTCTCTACTCGACCCCCCTCCCCCTAGAGTGTTTCGTAATTTATGGACGGCCCCTTATATACAGCAGGCAGTGACTGCCACTGAGAAAACAGATACGGTCATAAAAACCGTGGTACAATGTTCCACATCGGTAGTACTGAGAACGACTAGAAATATCTTGGGACACCAGGAACAACTGTGATTTACCGGAGTTCATAAAAATATCCAGGAAGTCCTCAAAATGATTTTAAACAGGAAATCAGGAGAAAATGCGGAAACACGGCGCCGTATATTGCATGATTATCATCGAAAAAGTTCAACAAACGTGATTTTTTCTTCTAAAATTCACAACAAATGCTGCACTACACCTGATATGATCGATTAATGAATTTTCGATTGGTCGCTATCAATCCAAGGACTAGACTCGATTGGAAATCGATCAACCATTCGTAACACTCTATATGGACTGACGCACATAAGTACGTATGTATGTATGTATAAGCCGCTTTTAAGGCGCGCTGGGGCGCTCTGCGACGCCTACTCTCCACAGGAATCTGTCACGGTAGAGATCCTCCGGAAGCTGGCATCTCTGCTTGACTGCCCCAACAAAATCACATAAGTACGTCCGTTTTTAAAATTGTCAGCGGCTCTTGGACTCGGCGCGGCGTGGCGCTTGGAGGCGTCGTCGTTGCCATGGCGACACCGACGCCGAGACCCCTGGGCCGCGTGCGTGAGCGAGATAAAATAACGCGACTCGGAGTCGAGAACCGAGACGCGATGGTGGCGGTGGGGTGGACGAGGACCGCGGACCACCACTCGACGACCGGCGAGACCTCCACTGACACTCTCCAGAATCCTGATCGGCTCCGGATCCGGACAGGACCCGTTTCCAGATTAGGACCGGTGAGGAGGAACAGGGGAGGGGATGCTCCCAGTATAAACAGGCGCCAGAGGGGGTGGGGGAGGGGTCGCGTACCCCCGCCTACCCCTGCTGCGGAACAGCTGCGGCCCCGCTCCGGCATTGCATCGGATTGTGACCGGTGGCCACTTGACACCGAGGAGGACGACACGCGACAGAGCGGCACCGGCCTACGATGGAACGAGTCGTGGGGGAAGTCGAATTTGAAAAGGCGAAAACCGTGAATTTCGGTGTTGCATTGTACCATTGTAAAGTACCCCGCACACTCCTAATAAGAATGTGTGCCCTGTTCGATTTTCAGTTTTTATTGTGGATTTAAACTCGTCGGTGGATGCTGATGAAAAGTCATCATTGCGCCCAGTTGCTACAAGGTACCGTTTTCGAGGGCAGCGCGGTAATTAAGAATCGAAACGATCTCTCTATATCTTTCAGCACCGGCTGAACACGAAGAAAAAACAGGAAAACCTCGGCGGGTTCATGTACCACTATACAATGCCGAGCGATCTGCCGTGCTAAGGAAAAACGTCGTATGAACTTTCGAGAGTTGCTAAATCTCCTTCGATAAAATGTTGATTTTTGAAGAAGGCTATGAATATTTTTTCTTGAAATTTTCAGGATCTTTTGGTGGAATTGCGAACAAAATTATCTGAAAAATTGGAAGAAAAATACTCAAAAATTTTCCCATAAATTCGTGATTTACGAAAAGAAATTTGGCAACGCCTAAAGATTTATACGGCGTTTTTCATTAGCACGGCAGTAGTCTTATCTTGGATTCTGCAAGCCTTTTCGTTTCACCTGGTTTCACCGTCCAAATCAGTCCCTTTCTTTTCTCTTCGACTTTCTTCCTTATCAGTTACCACTCACCGGCTGAAGTTTTCCTAGTTAAATTGCAAGTCGCCCTCATTAATTAAGTAATGATTGAACCTTAAAACGCGAAAACGGGGCCTCGTAGGAAGTTGGCGCAATAATGACTTTTGATCAGCATTCATCGAGAGACGAGTTTAAATCAATAAAAAAAAAAAAATTGAAAATCGAACAGGGAACACATTCCCATAAAGAATGTTTGGGATCCCTTCAAGAGGCGTCTGCTGTCTCTTGAGGGGAACTTTACGAGAGGACCAACGAAACGACTTTTTCTCTTCAAACTTTCTCAGCTCAGTATCCACGAATATTGAGGGCTTTTCAATAGCATGCCCGACCTCCTGAACGACTCGTTCCACCGCCACCGCGCATGAGTCAGAGAAGCCGCACTGCCATATGCCGAAGAAAACCGACGTGTCAACATTAGGACGTTGACTGATTTCCAGCGTTAAAACATAAATTTTGGAGAAAAACTGTGGATATTTGAGGGGCTTGGAGGACGAGGCGCATAAGGACAGTTTTTGCTATTTCGAGAAATACGTGTTTGAAGTTTCGAAATTACATGGATCTTCATGGCGGTAAAAAGTTCGAACTGACTTTTCGATGATTAAAAATTGGATATACCTAGGGAGCGAATTTGGCATAGAATATGCATTGAGACTGGTTTTACACAAGAGCATTAATACCTCAATTTTTTTCAAAAATTGCACTGATGCGTCTTGTCATCCAAGCCCTTCAATTCTCCTTGAAATGTTTACATACTTTAGATCAAATTGCGAAGAAAATTACTGAAAAAATTGAAGGGAAAATATTCGCAAATTTTCCGGAAAAGTACGTATCATTGAAGAAAGTTTAGGGATACCCTAAGGTATAACCGTAAATTTTGATGTTCGTTTCGTCAAATTGTAAATTTAAAGGGGTGCCTCTTGAGGGAAACTTCACGAGAAAACGATTCAATCCACTTTTAAAATTCTCCGTTTGGTATAAACAAAGATATGAGCTTTTAAAGTTTCCATATCGTATCCGAACTCCTGCATTGACCCGCTAATAACGTTCACTACAGTCAATTTGAACACCATGGCAAGGGAAAATAGTTAATTTGTACTTTTCTAAAGGGGGAGACTTTATCTAGGAAACCGAGGAAATTGCTTCATTTTTTGTGCCGGGACTAGTTTGACATATTTCCGGTTAACAACTATGAAGGGAAACCTTAATACCTACACCGTAAATTTTTAACGATCACGTTCACACGCACATGTTTCCGATGAAAACCGGGAGAGGTGGATTTTGACGGTCGTAATTAAGAGGGTGACAGGACTATTAAGAGTTCAGGACTGAATCCGGAATCCCTACAGGGTGAAAGCAGGGACATGTGAAATTCGTTTCTGACGGCCCCCTCCGCCCCCCTTTTGATTAGGGGCCTTTTGCGTATAACAAAACAATTGATAAACTGCTGTCGATCAAAAAACAACACAGAAACCTTGAAATGTTACGAAGAATTTCGTGACATATAGAAAAAGGCAGTTCGCTGTTCCTTCTTGGTAAAATTGCAAAATTTTCATTTCGTGACACACTATACAGTTTAAGGGGTGCTTTATTAGGGAAAATTCACAAGAAAATCAGTGAACTACTTGTAAACTCCATCGTATTAACTAATTGTAGGTCTGAGTTACTTGAGAAACTGAGTCAACTCCTGAGAGCGAGAGCTCAAATTGCAAATACGAAAACAAAAGGAGATGCA